GGAAGAATTTCCAAATATAGAAGGAGCAGATCGGGTACAGCTGCAGAATCAACTCAAGGGAAACAATTAAGAGAAGAAATTCAAATGACGGAGAAGGTTGCGGTCTGAAGACCAACGGCTAGTTGCAGAAAAGATAAAAAGGCCACAAAGGAGAATAAGAAAGCAACTTTTCAAGAGATCAATCATCTAAGAGCACAAAGGAGTTTTATGAGTGACGATCGATAAGAAAAGTAGCTCTAATCCAAAGATCAGGAGTGACTGTGTATTAGAGGGTGTGTCGGAGGACACAGTAGCTGGATAGCTGAGTGTGTGAGTAGTTCTGTGAGTCAGATTAACCTTCCGAGTGTGGTTGGTGAATTGTACGAGTTTCGTAGCAGCCAAGAAAATCTCTTAGTGAATTGGCGAGAATCACAAATCAGTGATCTCTCGTCCGTGGAGTAGTCAGAGCTGAGTTACATTTTCTCTCAGCTCTGGAAACCACGTAAAAGTCCCTGTGCCATTTTTATTTTGAAGCTCTGCAACAGTTCAAGCCTAAATCTCGTTCCTAGCTTGGATCGTGTTTTGGAAAACAGGGGAATTGAATCTGCCTAGGGGAGGATACAGTTCAAGCAGCGTGGAGTTAAAACACTTCGTTTAGCTAAAGTGCATCAATCTCTTTCAACAGGCCAAATCGAGAAACCTAAAGAAATTGGGCTCAAGTGTTTGGGCCCAACCAAAACAAGCAGATCAGTTCCATTCTTCATTTCGTGTTTAGTTTTCATTTATGTTTTCCATCTGGTATCATTATTCCTTTGATCGATCTTGTTCTTAGTAGAATGAAGAGTTAGGGTTTCAGGGGAGATCAAAGGATCGAAAGGAAGGAGGCATCTCACGCTCGATGCCTGATAACATTGGGTTTAGAGCCGAGGCCACGGATGTCTATTCTTAATGAAGTTGCTCCCCCCCCCCCCCTCTTCTCTTTGCAGGGCAATATGTCTTCGCACGTGAGTGAGGATCAAGTGGTGCAATTTTCCCTTGATGAAGTCCATTCAATCAAAGTTCGTAACTCTCATATGCTGTTTGGTTGCGTCTTCACTACGGCTCGTGTCATGACAGTCGAATTAAGAGAGTCGGTGAATTCTCCATGGCAATGCAAAGGTAGGATCAAAGTGCTGCAAGCCAAACATGGCTTATTTGAGTTCGTCCTCCCCAATGAAGAATCCAAATTTTGGGTTTTGAAAAGAACTCCCTGGGTGGTGAATGATAAAATCCTCCATCTACGGACATGGACGTCGTCGGTCACAAGACAGACTTATGAGGAGCTAGCGGTGGCCCCCTTCCGGGTGAAACTATGGGATGTGAATGACGATTGCTGCACGACAAAATTTGGCAAGAAGGTTGCGGGTCCCACCATCGGCCAAGTGATCGAGGTAGGTCTTTGTTCTTGCCAGGACATATGGAAATATTTCATCAAGGTGAAAGCGATGATTGATTTCTCTCGGCCCCTGCGATCCCAATTGATGGCTGATAGTGAGGAGACGGGGTGTTTTTGGGTGCGGTTGAAATATGAGCACCTCCCAAACTTTTGCTTACATTGCGGACGGGTGGGACATTTTCAACGAGAATGTGCTTTCGACCCCCCAACTCGCAAGGAACGATTTGGCCCGCATATGATGACCAAGAAGCTGGGAACAAGGGTCTATGATGTGGATGATATCACCATTCCTTTCCATGGGATGCCAAAAACCGTATGGGTTAACAACAACATTATAGGCCCTCGCAACCAACCCAAGCTGGCTCGAAAAGAGGAGGAAATGAGAAGGGAGGATGTGGTGGGTGAAGGCTCGGGCCACCATGTAAAGTCCCATGGACTGGTGGCTGGGGAGCAGGTTGATCCCTTTCCTATGGAGAGGGAGAACCAGGCGTTATCGAGGCGAAACCCTAGGTTATTTGCCATCTCTCGCTCACCTAAAATGAATCTGGGTCCGAGCATGCAACGTCAAGATAAGGGTAAAGAGAAACACGATTCAGTTCGTGCTTCATTTGACCCAAAAGAGACTTGGAAGTCGATGATGATGGCTACGAAGGCGGGGTGACGCAATACAGATGGAAGCCAAGGGGCATGGCAAAGCTCTCGGGGGATGGAACCTGAAAACCCTCCCCATGCAGAGACTAGCTTAGGTCGCAAACAGGAAGCAGACCATCAGTCTACTGCTGCTGCTGGAGGAAGAATCGGAGGATGAGATGTCGTTGTTGTTTGCCTCTCTAAGTGGGGTAGGACATACAGTGGCGGAGAAACAATTGGATTTGGGACGGGGGACTACTGCGCCCTGTGCTGCTAGTATGGAGGGCGGGCCGCCAGTCCAGGCTTCTCCAATGCGCCTCCCCAAACCTAAACCACGCCAGCTGCCGCGCAAGGATGCCTTAGCCAAAAAAGGCAGGGGGAAGCTTAAGAAGAAAAGTATGACTAGTGCTACCCGGAAGGCTTCCACTGCTCTGGTTTATGATAATGGGGCTTGGGTGGATGTTCCAGTGGGGGAAGTGACATATGTTGCTCCCTCCCCAGTGAGAGAGTTCCTCAATCCGCTACCAAGTGGTGTGTTTGCTGACTAAGTCGACTGAGAGTAGTCCGGAGGGTGATACGCATTGTTCCGATATACAAAGTAGAAGGTCGGCTGCCGAACGACCTAACAATGGCCATGTTCAGCAAGTTGTACGTGCATTCGAGGCTGGGATGAGTTTTAAAACGTCCAAACCACTCCTCCGCCGAATGCAGATCCTAGCTCGGTCGTTTGCAGGCTCATGGTGGAGCAATCCTCTGAATTGACTGGGGATCTCGGAGAGCTGAATGAATATGGTTCCAATTATGATGCCTACAAAGTAGAGAAAGAAAACGCTCATTCCAGGAGGTGGATGGGGACGCATGCGAACCCATTACACCGAAAAAACAATTTGTGGAGGAAAAAGATGTTGCTGCTACGATGGAGGAAACTAGCCTTAATTGGTCCAAGCGAGATAAATGAGACTTCTGGCCTGGAATATGAGAGGCATTGGACCATCCCTCACATTACAAACTGCTATGGGTTTAGTTCATTCGAATAAACCGGACCTTGTCTTCTTTACAGAAACAAGAGCTCGGCGGCGATTAGTTTCCCGTCGTATGCGGGGTCTAGGATTTGTGTCTTCTCACACTTTTTTGTGGATGCTATTAATGCACTTGGTGGTCTTGTTGTTGCTTGGTCCCCCGAAGTTGAAACTTCAGTGTTTTTTCATTTCGATTTTTGTATTGGTGTCCAAATTAATGAAGTTGAGTTTTCCTACGTTGTTGTTTGTGTTTACATTAGTTGTAATCCCTCTATCGGAGCCACGTAGTTGGCTCATCTTCGGGAGGTCTGTGACACTATCCATATCCCATTTGTGGTCATTGGTGACTTCAATACCACCCTGCATGAACATGAAAAAATGGGAGTAGTGCTTGGAATATTGCGCAGTCGATTAGCCTCCGTGATTTTATCAACGATCTTGGACTCCATGACCCCGGCTATCAGGGTGATACTTTCACCTGGACGAACAAGCGTTTGGGAATGCCTGCATTCGGGAACGACTTGGTAGGGGCCTCTAATCCCAATTGTGGGTGGATCTCTTCCCTTATACACTTGTCAAACACTTTACGGACCTCAGATTGGACCATCGGTCGCTGCTCCTTGCGGACAGGCCCTATGCTCAGAATAGTCGTCCATTATTCAGGTTCGATGCTCAATGGGCTGATAGCCCTGAAGTTAGGGGGATGGGAGAAGCTTAAGAACTTGAGGCATCTCCTCTGTGATTGGAATAGAGTAGGCACTACCCTCTAAGTGGAAATTGAACACCTCAAATCTCACCACCCTATAAATTGGGAGGAAATGGGTTTCTACCAATTCTGCCGCATGAGATTAGAAAAATGGTTTTCTCCATGGGTTCCAAGCAGGCTCCTGGCTCGATGGTTTTACGAGGAAATTCTTCAAAGCCTTTTGGGATATTGTTGGCGATTTGGTGATTGAAGCTGTTTGCTCATTCTTTGCAACTAGTAGGATGCTTCGAAGTTTCAATCATACTTGGCTAACCCTAATACCCAAGGTGGAGAATGTTGAGAATTTGAGACAACTGCGGCCAATCAGCTTGTGCCAATTTGTTTACAAAATTATTACTAAAATCATGGCTGCTAGGCTGGCTGATATCTTAGCGGGAATTGTTTCTGAAGGACAGAATGCCTTCATCCGAGAGAGGCAAATTATTGAAAATATTCTTGTGGGTCACGAGTTTATGCACTATTTGAAAATCAAAACACGTGGCAAGAAAGGGTACATGGCTCTAAAGGTTGACATGGAAAAGGCCTATGATAGAGTCGAATGGTCGTTACTGCTGGCGGTCTTGGAGAAAATGGGATTTAACTCCGTGGGGCGTAGATGGATACATGAATGCCTCCGATCGACTTCATTCTCAGTTCTCATGAATGGCACCCCCTCGGGGTACTTCTCGCCTTCCCGAGGGCTCCGACAAGGGGACCCTCTTTCTCCTCTATTGTTTGTGCTCTTTACGGAAGGCTTCAATGCTATTCTTCGCAAGGCAATAGCGGACAGGAGACTGGAAGGTGTAAAAGTAGCTCCCCGTGCTCCTCGTGTTTCTCATCTGTTCCTTGCGGATGATTCTTATTTATTCCTGCGAGGAAATCTCCAGGAAAGTGAGAATCTGATTGAAGTATTGAACGAATATGAGGAGCTGAGTGGCCAACGTATGAATTTGGTGAATTCGGCTGTTTGTTTTAGCAAAAATGTAGCTCGAGAAGACCAGGAGTTTCTGGCTGCGATGCTGGGAGTGGGAGCGGTGGGGGCCCATGATAAATACCTGGGATTGCCGACTCTGATGGCCCGGTCGAAAATTGAAGAAGGATTCGGTCTGACAATCGAAGGAATCTAGCCAACCCAAAATCACCCACACGGCCTCCCGTGTTGTCGTCAAGAAGTATGTTGCTATGCTTTAGATCACAGTGAACATAGGAGCTCCATATTGGTGATGAAGGTATCAAGCACAGAAGCCACGTCAATGGCAACACTTAACCTCTGGAGGAAGTTCAAGCTCTTCGGCGGCTCAAGCTCATCGATGCTTCGAAGCGGATGCAACCACTCTTCCAAGCTGCCATTAGCTAGGAACTTATAGACAAGAGCCTTGAACTCATTCCCTCGATAACCGACGCTCGAGCACATGGTCACTATTCTCACGAGATTTTTGTGCCTGATGCTCTTCAAGACTTGACATTCTGCCTCGAAACTCTTGGAAGCTCCTCTGTGTTGAAGGTTGAATACCTTCACAACAATGGTGATTCCTTTCTCATCATCAAAAACTTCCTTGTACACAGAACCAAAGCTTCCCACACCAACCAGATTAGCCGACGAGAAGCCATCGGTATCTTTGTGGAGCTTTCTGTAAGAGAATTGCAGTTGCAAGTCATCAGCTATAACTCTGTCTTATTCCCTCTCCTTTTGATCCAAAAAACAAGCAGGCAAGTGTTGAGATAAGGGCTACCTTGTTAAAGGTTCGTGGCTGATACCTTGGAGGCCTCGGCCCATTAAGCTCAACTAACGTCATAATCAACACTAATCTCAGCTAGGGTTAAGAGATGATAGCCAAAAATTATGTATATATGTACAGCAGCTCTACTACGTGATGATAATAAGAAATTGAATTCCCTTTCCCGTGGACTAGTCTTGTTCGATCACATCGAAACAAGGAAACCACGTAAATCCGTCTTGTTTCGATTAAATTCCGTTTCGATTAACATGGTATCAGAGCCTCTCACGATGGATAGGGAGAGCATCAACACTCGGCTTAACTCGAAGAATTTTGTACTATGGGAATTTCAGTTCCGGACGTTCATAGAAGGCCAAGGGTTTTTTGGATATCTCGACAGCACAATGAAGAAGCCGACTTCACCTCCAATGACCGAACAGGAGGTTCTGAAATGGATGCGATCGGACGCCATAGTCAGATCATGGATCTTGAAATCTGTGGATCCCTCGATAATATTGGGGCTGCGTCTTCTCACGACGTCGGCCGCCATGGGAAAATCACTCCAAGACACCTACGCCACAACTAATGTGACCCGCCAATTTGAAATTGAAATTGAAATTGAGCTCGCAAATCTTCACCAGGGGGACAAGGACATAGCCACCTACTTCAACGCAATGAAACTCCTATGGACTGAACAAGATATTCTCACTGCGGCGCTCCTCACAGGTCCAGCCTCTGTCGAAGTTCAGGTTGAAAGGAACAAAACTAGGGTCCTACAATTCCTAGCTCGCCTCAAGCCTGACTATGAGGTTGTTCGCTCCACGCTGCTTAATCGAGAGGGAATTCAACTTGAACCATCCTGGGAGCCTTGATTCGGGGAAAAACCAGGCTGCGAACCCAGGCCTCCATTGATGCTCGCCCAGGTCAAGGAGATAGCGCAATTTTCGCAGCCACCAAAGGGGGGATCCAGGCTGCATCGTTGCTGGGCACTCCTCCATCAAGGGCGGATCGTACCCTTGTGGCTTCAGCGGGACGAGAAGGTTTCTCGGATGCTGCTTTTGCAGCGTACAAATCCCCAGTCGCAGTGGCGGCCGTGCGTGCTCTCGGTAGTTAGTGCACGACCAACAGCGCCAGGTGCACGGCCGTGAGCCTCGGCTCGGCCAGGCCGTGTCGGCCTGCACGGGCAAAAGGCACCTGTGCACGGCCGTGCGTGCCTGCCCGTGCGGCCCCAGCTGACGGTGATAATGGAGCTGCTGGCGCTGCTGATGATGATGCGTTCATGACCGACATCGATCTCGACGATCTTGGCGACGAGTAGGCTGTACTCGTTGCCCGTCTCAGTGTGTTTGTTTTTGTTTTCTTTTTAGACTTTTGAGTGTTTGCTCCATGTGTGCGGAGCTTGAACTTGGTGTCGTTTGTTTTGTTTTTGGTTTTTCCTTTGTGGTTTGATGTAGCCGTCTGGGCTAACACTTATCCCTAACGCCAGTGTGCTAGTGTTTCTGATGTTCGATTTGTGCAGCATTGTTCACTCCCCTGTTCGTTTCTCGCTGACTGGTCCACTTCCAGTCCCCCGGCAGTGTTCTTACCCGGTAACATCGTTCCCCTTATCTTTCCCTCTACTCCATTGTGGGCAATGTCGTGCTTAAGTGTGGGGGGATGCTTTGTATCGGTTGGAATATTTAGGATGGTGTTTGGAGCCTAGTCCACTGTCTGAATCTTACGATTTGAGGGCTCCAAGTACTGCTGTTTGATCATATTGGCACTGTGTTTAGATGGATGAATTGATTGGTTTTCGGATTAATGCATGACAACTTGTTTGCGACTGGGACAACCTATGATGAGGACTGAGATGTGCAGTAGAACGATGTAGGGGTTCAGTTTTCCAACTGTTTGCTTGCCAACTGTGACTTGATCTGACTTGATCTGATTACTTGTTCTTGACAGTCGTTTATGCATCTAGTTCAGGGTATCAGAATGTGAGATAGAGCATATAGGTAGCCATGTGAGATTTGAGCCTGCTTGTTTCTTTCTTGTGCGATAGATCCCTCTTCCATGATGTGTAGCATTCACGTTGTCACTAGCTAAGATGATGGGGGCATAGGATTAGCCCACGCCCAAAACTGACTGTCCTGATGTGTCATATCCCCTAGTCAGCCCCTTTGAGCCGTGTGTTATCCTTTCTTTTGGTCTATAATGGAAAAAATCACCCTTGTTGCATCTTTTAGAAGGTTCCACAGAGTGGTTTTTACATATTCTCTGCTGTTTCTGCTACAGTCTATGTGAGTGTTGGAGGTAGTGCTTAAAAGTTGGGCAGGTATTTGAAATATGCAGAAGTGGTGGCTCTCTTAAGAAATGAAAAGAAAAATAAAGAAAAAGAAATTGAAAGCAAAAGAGAGCCACTGCCAAAAATCTGAATAATGCCCAGTAAGTAGTGTTTCTTAGTAGTCTGGCTTGGAAATGCTGATGTTTATGCCTCCTTCGCTCTTGTGCTCTTAAGATATTGAGTAATGCAGAATAGCAGAAAGAAAATACCGGGTTGTTTGACTGTGATTGTGTGTTTGGAAAATGTGGAACCTTTTGCTATGAATACTTCCACCACCTAAAAGGCCTTTTCCCCATGTCCAAGACCCTAGCCAGTCATTTGAACTTGTGTCTAAGACCTTCTGATTAGTTAGTGGTGACACCCCATATGTGAACTCTAGCATTTAGAGGCTGCCATCATGGTGAAGAGATGATAGGTATTGAGAGAAATAGCATGCGCATCTTTCGCATCAAATTGTCCTGACCCCACTGGTCGAGAGTGAGTGATTCATTTTCATTTTCTATATGCTCTTGTACCCCGGTGAGGACCTAGATTGCTCGGTCTCTATTCTGATGTCTTGAGTTGGATGCATGAGTTGACTGTTTTGAGTAAGTGGTTGAATCAAGTCTAGGTTGGCCAGTGAACAGAAGGGAGACTCTTCCTTTACTCGATTTGCTGCACTCGAATGTCCTTTGTGGTGGTTGTCCAGGTTGTTATTGAGGTTGTGCATGTATTGATGTTTGAAAACCAGTGCGATTCACGTGTTTTGTGCCTTTATGACTTGTCCCCAATGTTGGTTGATTGAAATATGTAAGCTTACCTAGTGTCTGACTTGGTTTGCTTGGGGGCAAGCAAACGGTTAAGTGTGGGGGAGTTTGATAGACCGTCATTTACACATGTTTTTACCCTCATACTTACACCATTTGAGGTGTTGATTCTCGTGTTTTAGGCCGATTTCACGCTAGGTTGTGCTTGTTTGTGTTATTTCAGGTCCTAGTACGGGAATGAAGGCTTAGGAGCGAGTCTGGGGTCGATTGGACGAAGAACGGACGAAGGGCGAGCTTTTTGGGGAGTGCACGGGCAGACCAGGAGGCTGCACGGCCGTGCACTTGAGCCATTTGGCCGTGCGCCTCACGCCGAGGCCATGCACGGGCAGGCTTAAAGCTTGCACGGCCGTGCGCCTGGCCGTGCAAGGTGGATGAAGGCCGAATAATTGATACGGTGCGTTTTGAGGGTGCACGGCCAGAATGGTGTTGTGCACGGCCGTGCACCTGGCCGTGCAACTCGGGAAAGTCGGTTTTAAAGCCTAATCCGAGCCAAAAGTGGGAGGGTCGTGTTTTTCAGAGCAAAAACAGAGCCCTAGAGAGAGAAAGTGCGAAGAACACATCCTAGAAGCTGTCCTAGAGCTGGATTTCATCGAATCGAGCCTGGAGATCGTCATAGGAGTGGAAATCATCGTCCCGGAGCAGATTATCCTCATCGTTATGAGTATGACTAATCCGATTCTTGTTTTCTCTTCTCTCTCTATGGAGTAGAACCCTTCTCTCACTTGGGTATGAAGAACCCTAGTTCCTTGTGTTAGGGATTTGATTGTAATGACTTGGGATGATATTACTGTTTGATTTTAATCAAATGACGCATGTTTAATGAATTGATTTGAGTCTGATCAGCTTTTCTCAATTTCTGCTGCAACCTGAGATAGATAGAATCTGATTAGGTTGTTAGAGCCTCTTCATTCGATAGTAGGAGATTGGCTATACGAGAGTTAGCCAGTTGACTGCTTTGTACTGGTGTTCTTGGCGCCAGTAGTGGAGTTCTGTGTTCATAGCCTCAGCTTTCTATCCCGGTGAAGACTAGTCGTCTGCCGGGTAGTTAGACTGAGAGGGCTTGGTCAGCTTAAGAGATTCCAAGCTACTGTCGGATCTTCCGCAGTCTAATCAACAGTAAATCAACCCAGGGAATTGCAATTGAACCTAACTAAGGGGCTAGGGGGACTCAATCCCGAGTGACTCTTACCTGCTTTAGAAACCCGAACAATTTACTGCTTTCTTGTTGCTTTTACTTTTCACAACAACCACTCGAATTAGTTTGCTAGATAATAGAGAATCACGGAGTAAGCAGTAGATCTAGACCCCGGGTTGATAATTAAACTTGCCTGTTACTGCAGTCCCTTTCATTGGTTACACTTGGCCATTGTTAGGTGTTGTGTTTTAGCGTGTCACTAAGACTACCAGTATTTCTTTTCCTCCTAGTCTTACTGTTATTTCTGAACCTTTCCATGTCATCCATACGGATCTTTGGGGCCCTAGTTCTGTTATTTCTCGTCATGGTTACAAGTATTTTGCTTTATTTGTTGACCATGCTACTCGATACACGTGGGTTTACTTCTTACGCTTAAAATCTTATCTTTTGTCAGTGGCTACCGGGTTCATCAAAATGATCCAGACACAATTTGGTAGGACCGTTCGTGTAGTTCGATCTGATCCTGGTGGGGAATTTAGTTCTACTCCTTTACTTGAGTTATACATATCCCTTGGTAGTCTTACCCAGAAACCATGCCCGAGTATTTGCCAACAAAATGGTCTAGTCGAA